AAGTTTCTTCTTTTTAAACTATCATTCTTGCTTTAACAGTGTACGATCAAAAAGTTGCTCAAATGAGAAAAAATAGCAATGCAGCAGTGTTGCAAACCTGTTTCAGTTTTCAGTTTTGGGAAATCTGACTGGATATTTTAGACTAAACAGGGTTTGCATGTCTGCTTGCACTAGATTTGAGGAAGATGTTTCAGAAATGGAGCTCAATGTGTAGATGGACAGTTTTGCTTCGCAGTGAGGGAACCCCTCCTCTCTGAACGGATGAAACGAAGAGAAAGAAACTGAAATCCGAGTCATTTTTTACTGTATGAAAGTTTTACAAGGTCGTTCGGAGAGTCATGTTAACACAACACCTGAATACAGATTTATTTTCTTGTTCTACAAGTCACGGAGTGTCGAGTCTTTAAGCGATCATTATTACCATACAAATAGACAGATCTATTTAACAACCCTCTCTTTATCGCACAACACTTATTCTTTAGTGTTGCTCCCTGAAAGGTGCTGAAATGTGTCTCTCCCCCTTCTTGCTCTCCCTCTCTCTCTCTGCTTTTCTTTTTCTTTTTTTTTTGTATTTTTCAGGGAAATCGTCTTCGGGTTGATAAAGGCTCAGAGCAATAGAAGAAGCAAGGCTGACATCTTCTTAAGAGATGATAGGAGAGCCAAATCAAATAGGATGGAGCAGTCACTCTTTTCACAGATAGGTAGCTCATTTCTGGTGGCGGAGAGTTTGCATCCCTAGTGGCGCTCTGCCTGGGAAAGATAGCTCTCTCGGACTCCATTCATTAATTCATTTCCTGCCTCCCCTTTTCACATCCTAGTTACCCCCCTCTCTTTTTTTGCTTTAATGAGTTGCCCATTTTTCTCAAGTATTGATGGGGATCTTGGAATTTAGATTCAGAGACAAAATGCTCAATCACAAGCATTTCTCATTTGCGAAGAAAAGGCAAAAATCAATTATTCCTATTAGACAATGCTGATTGGAAATGAATGGGAGTGGTGAGATTTTGAAACAAAGGCTCTATGGAGACAAAGATAAGTGTGAGTCTGCACCCCCCGAGGTGCGGTATGTGGTTTGGCTTAATAAACAGCTGGGAAACATTTGCTGTTAAATCCTTGCAGAAGGGAGGGTGGTATAAACACAAGCTAATAATTAATGATAACAGTATTTTTGAATCAGAGGTTTATGTGTAGAACTAAATATAATTTGCAAAACTCTGAAAAACTTTTCCCATAAACAATTCAAACCAGAAGGGTACGTACAACGAATAAAAAGACAAATAACATTTTCTCACTGTCTGAAGTTAATTAAGACACAACCTTCCTGATTTAGGTCAGTTAGAATGACCAGCTTCTATTTACTAAAAGCCACAATAATGAGAGAAAGAATATGTGAGATTTATTTATTATTGTCTTCAGGATCAGAGGTTTACGTACAGAGAGATTACTATCTCTTCAAACATTGAAAGAAAACCTAGATGATATCATAGCTCTGGAAACTTCTGATATGTTAACAAATACATTTGAGTGAATTTGATACACACCTGTGGATGTATCGTAAAGCCTCACTACTTTTTTGTTTCACACAATGAGTAAATCAAATGACATTCTCATTTGAAAGTCATTTGATTTTCCTAGGGTGATGACTTTCTCAAATCTTCCTAATATCAACCAATATATCAGAAAGAGAATTGTGGTATAATTTCACAGATATTTTTATTGTATGGTGCTTTGGGTTTTTATGTCTGTGAAATGCTCTTCAGAAATAAGCTTTACATATTTTTTTACTTACTTACAATTTCCAAATGCACAAATGTACAGTGTCATGTTCATCTGTTCAAACAATTATAGCAAGTGTAGACAAGATGAATATGAAAGTCCGACCATCATACCGCTCAAGAGGAAGATGGATTCTCACAGAGAAGAACGGGTTTTGCGCCAACATGTGCAAATTGACCTCAGAACCGACATGGGCTGAAAGTCCACACAGTGAGAAAGAAGCTATTACTCCAAAAGAAATGTAAGGCAATCAGATTGCAGTTTGCAGATGCTCACAAGGAAAATACCTTAATTTTTGGAGACAATTCCTGAAATGTGATGATCATAAAGGTCATTGATACATTTGGAGAAAAAAGGAAAACACTTGTAAGCCTGATAACACCAACCCAACTGTGAAGTATGGAGATGGCAGCATCATGTTGTGGGACTGTTTTAAAGTAGGAGGAACTGATACATCAAACAGGAAGTCAGAGCTAATTTCCAAAATGGGCTTCCAGATTGACAATAATCCTAAGCATAGAGCCAAAGTGGTAATAAAGTTTCTTCAGGACAACAAAGTCAGTATTTTGGCATGGCGTCACAAAACCCTGATCTCAGACCTGTGGAGAAGTTTTGGGAAGATCTGAAAGGTGTGCATGAATGAGACGGCCTACAAATGTGACTCAGTTACACCAATTCTGTCAGCGAAATGGACCTGAACTTCAACAAACTTGAATCTTGTGGAAGGAAACTGAAAAGGTTGGATTTAAGTCATACAGTTGAAAGAAATATAAATGACAAGAAAATGCATGCAAACTTCAAATTTCTAAATTATTAATAAATAAATCTCTGACATTTTTTTCCTATTATTTTGATATTTAGCAAACAGAAGAAGTTTGGTCTGTTTTCACTTCAGACAGTGAAAATAATGTTGTGTCTTTTTACTTGGTGCATGTAAACGTCTGGTTTCAACTTTAAATGACAGTTTCAAACTTAAAGCTTTGGCTTTAAAAGGGAAATGTGTGGTGCCGTGGTGACTGAAAGTGAGTCCCCAAAGGAGATTTGGCTTTGGACTTCAGAAAATCCTCAACCAGCTCTGCTTTGTGAAGCTCACATCCCTTCATTTTTCATAATTCCTTTAAAAGTATTTCATACAAATTAGCTGTTCTTGCAGAAGTCTCATTGAAAAGAAAAATTACATGTCAGATAAAGCATTTTATCACCAAAGAAAGACCAGACATTGTACATAGAGAAATTGGGAAGATGGTAGAAACAATGAATATTAAGTGGCAAAGTATCTAAAGCTGCTGACTAAATTGAAACAGTATATCCTGAGGGGAAAAGGTTTCCAAATTGCTAATTACTGCCTCTGAAAGGGGCTCTGTTTCTGATATGTTTGCTTGTGAAAGACTTCCACTTAATGAAGCAGTGGCTCAAGTTTTTTTCTTCTTTCTTTTTTTTAATATTCCCACTCTCTGGTTTTCAGTATTCTCTCTGGGCTTTCCTCCCCGGCCAGAACAATGGTGGACCCAGGAGCCCAGCTTCCCCACAGGCCCCAAACGAGAACAAGCCAGGAGCTGGGAACTGACGGAGCCGCTCAGCTTGCTGAAATGTGGAGGAGGCAGATAAGGGGCCAGCGGCACAGAGAGGCCCTCTCCCCTGGGCCCAGGGGGAAATTTGCAGTTATTAAGAGAAGATGAGAACGATTAAATAGCTTTTGTACTCGTTTTCACAGACTTTTCTTTTTTATTATTTGGGCTGTCTTCATCTGATAGATGAAAGAAGTGGCAAATGACTTTCCTGCCTGATTCTGCAACAGCACTGGCTTTTGAAAGCAACTCTTCATTACAGAGCTGCCTTTAGCAGAAAGTGTTTGTCTAATATTGTTTTAAAGGTAGATTGTTAGCAGAAAAACAGGGTCTATAAAGTCACCATAATGAGATCACTTTCTACAGTACCTTGCAAAGCATCTACATCCCCTGAATGTTTTCAACAACAAACTTAAGATGCATTTTGTTGGGACTTGTGTGATAGACCAACACAAAATAGTGAAAAATTTTCTCACAGGATTGTCTTGTATTTAACTCCATCCATCATCCTATGAACTCTGACCAGCATTCCCACAGTACGGTGCTGTCACCACCAGGTTTTATCACTGGGATTGTGTTTTACAGTATTTACTCTACTTCCTGTATGCATGTAACTTATAGCATAAAAAGACAAATTTTGGTCTCATGTGACTAAAGCATATCCTTTCTCATATTTGCTGTGCCCCCCCAAATGGCTCATGACAAATTGTCCTGTCAACATTATTTTTGTGCCCGAGTTGAGACTCTGCATCTCCTCCAGAGTTACCATGGATATCTGGGTTGGTAGATTTGTGATCTTGCCAAACTCTTTCCATTTTTTAATGATTGATAGAATAGTGCTCTGAAATTTTAGATCAGAATTTTGCAGAACTGTTTGAAAGCTACAGGATGTAATTTTTACAAAAATATGTTTTTACATGTTACTTAAAGCTGCCATTATGTCGTGACAGTATAATATGAAACAGATCATTTGTGAAAAGATCAAGCTCCTACACCTAATCCCTGAGATTGATCCTGGTCAAAAACGGCCAATCAGAGCCAGGAGGAGCATCTTAGAGCTCTCTATCAACCTCATGTGTGCGCTGCTAAATGTGCTAGAGGCAGAGAAACAACTTACCAATGCAGAAAAATTGTTTATCTGCATCATTGGTAGCCAAACCTGAACATTCAAGGCAGCTTATGATGTGGTGAACCACCTGTAGTGTAGCAGAGATCAGGGGAGGTTGAGAGCAGCATGTACACGAGGATGATTCACAGTGCTAATATCTTCCTTCTGGCTCTGCTCGGTTGTTTCTGACCAGGAGACAACAATATCCAGTTTAAATATGAAACATAGTCTGCATATAATGACTTAATTTACTAAGGGAAGAAAGGTATTCAACCCTGTCCACCCTATTGCTACATATCACTGGAGAACAAGACACATAAACTCTTCTGATTCAGACAGAACTTCAACCTCAGAGCATATTCTGACACTACAGAGACAGTTTCATGATAAAAAAAAACTGAATGAGTCTAAGGACGTCGTGTAACAGAGGTCAAAGAGTTATCTGGGTTTTGGCAGACCGACATGTGGCTTCCTATCTGCATGAACTCGTGTTGTTTTGGAACTACGTCACAGCAAGGCGGAGCCATCTGATTGGCTGCACTGCAGGGCGGAAGTGCGTCTGTTTTCCCAGCTGGGAGCTGAAAACAAAACAAGACAAGCAGCGACTGGTGAGTGTTCAGAGCCTCTGGAGTGTAATTATTATTTTTTAGCTTCATAGTAAATATGTAGAGATGTTTTCTGTATGACAATGACCGCGTTGAGCGCTCGTAAATGGCTCGGTTCGTTGGTAGTTCGGGAGATATTTGTCTGTCCTTGTGCCGAGCTCACATGTGAGCTGTTATGTAACAGCTCAGAGCATGCAGATTACTACAGCGTGCCTCTGCTGTTGTTCTGCTGCAGTGATGCTGCAAAGCTGCCCTGCAGCATAACTCACTGGCCATAAAGACATTTTAAGCTTTTCTTGGAAAGTGCACACGCGTTTGGTGGTCTCTATATTAATGTAATCAAATGAGAGGCAGCTCTTGTTCGAGCCTCATCAATGCTTTGCTGCTTGACTTAAAATCACCCTGCTGCTATCTCTGAAAGGCTGCATAATTAGTGAATTACATGTGGTAATATAGAGAAATCAGTGGATCAGAGCTTTTTCTTTTCCATTCAATTTTTTTTCTCTACTCTCCTGTGAACGTTTTTCATTGTTACTTAAAATGATGAAGGACCTCAATCTGCAAGCTGCACCTATTGGTGTTTTAGCACTCTTCTACTGGCGTCAAAAATGTGCAATCTAAGTCCAGATATGCTTGACGTTTTAGAAATAACTCTGTAGCTAATGTGCAACAATCAATTGACCACAGGTCAATTTTGATAGATGATTTGTCAGTTTGATTTGTCATCCATTTTCATCCATTTTTGGTCTATAAACACATCAACAAACAGAAGGTTCTTTGATGCGAATCTTACTCAGAAACAGATAAAAGTTAAACAGAGAATTTGATTTTTCATAGGAGGAAGTAGTTCAAAATAGTTATTCCCAAGAGTGGAGGCTGTCCTTCCAGGTCATGTTTCTTCATGCTTGGAAAAAAAAAACTTGACAGTAATATTAAATATTCAATGATATGAACATGTTCTAATACTGTTTGACTTTCCTTTTAGGGAAAAATGAAGCATTGCTATGCTTAATTTCATTGCATTTTTGACTTTCAGTGGCTAATTAGAGAACAAATTGACCCCAGGCTTGTATCACTTTCCGGTTAATATAAAAAAAATATAAAGAAAAATAATGTAAAATGTAAAATTTCTCTACTTCTTGGATTATGTAAAGCACAAACATATATTTTTTACTCTATTTTCTAAAATTGCAGTTATTTCTGATAAGGATTTTTAATTTTGTTTAATTCTGTTGCCTATTTTCATGATGCATAAAATAAATTAGCTGATATTTGAAAATAAGGTAGAAAAAGACACATAAAATAGAAAATAGAACATTATCTCTTAATGTGAGCTTTTATAACACTCAAAACCAGTGATCTTCAAAGAAGCTGCTTCTTTTTTGTTCATCAGTGCTTTCAGATTGCTGTGTTGTGCATCTGTAAATCAGTTGACTGATTTAACTCTTTCCTCTGTGGTTTCCAGAACCATGATGGATGAGCTGGTGCAGGACCTGGTGTCTGCACTGGAGCAGGCCTCTGAGCAAAACAAGTTAGGGAAGCTGTGGGAGGAAATGGTCCTCAGTCCGCTGCAGCATCGGCGACAGATCCGGCGGCGCAGAGGTCGGAAGCGCCTTCACGAGTCCTCCGTCTATCCGTTGGCACACAGACGTCACTGGATTGAGGCTTCTGAGTCCAGCTTGGACGAGGCCAAAGAATACAGGGAGAACATATCCTCCACTTTCACCTCTGCTGTGGCAAACCACAGCGACTCAGATGATATGGCCACCACTGACCACTGGCCTCGTGTCGTTGGCGGCCCTGTCAGATCCAGACACCCATCTTGGCCAGAGTCCGATTCCTTCACCGATAGTAATCCAGGACAGCCACTCAGAAGACGCAGGAAGGTCAAGCGTATGACTTCAGACATGACGGTCAGACTTCAGCAGAAGTTGCATGACGGAAAAAAGAGGCACAGGCCATCTAAGGTTCAGCGTTTGTCAGGATCAAGGAGGAGGTCAAGCAGCTGGACTGGACCTGAGAGACAGACAGACGGAGGCAGAATGATGGGAAAGGAGTGCTGGAAAAGAAAAATGGCGAAGGAACGTCGAGACGGTCCAGATGAGAACATGTCTGATGGGTAATGTGATATCTAAATCATTTTCATGTTGAAAACTGCATTAAATTTTTATTTTATATTGAAAGTAAAATGAGGAGTCTGATTTCATTAGAAAATATCTACAAAACTTTACATGTTGAGTTGGCCACATCAACATAAAACGGATAATTTTGACGGAGAGGGAGAAAGATAAATGGTTTTAAGTATTTTTACCTCTAGATAATCTAAAGGTGTGCCATGCATATGTACTCAACCTCCTTACTCTGAAACAACTTAATAAAATTCAGTGCAAATAAACGCTTGTGGAGGTCACCAAATCAATAAACATGTGTGTGATATTTAAATCCAGCTGTTCTATGAAGGTGTGTTAGAGAACATCAACAAACAAGAAGCATCTTCAAGGAATGGAACTGATTGAAAACCTTGTTTTGAATCAGTTACATAGCAATAAACTATATTGAATTGAAATTATTGTGAAACATTGTAGTGGCAGCTTAGGTGAGAGAAGACTGGGATTGAGATTCATCTTAGATCAGGACAAAAACCCTAAGCGTACAACCAGAATTTCTATTAAATAGTTTAGGTCAAAGCATAGTCATTCTTTAAAAAGGCCCAGTCAAAAATTGCAAGTCAGATGCAAATAAATTGAACATTTTCACTTTAGGAATGATCAAGAATTTCAGTCTCCATGTGCAGATCTGGTAGAGTCAAAGCTCTTAGAGACTTTTCACCATGTGTTATCTTAGAGGGACTGAAACACATGGCAAACTTTTTCTATTTTTTTCTGAAAAGTTTGAAAACCATGTGTGTTCTTCCTTTTCATTTCACTTCATATTTTTGTACTTCTTTGTGTTGGTCAGTCGCATAAAATCCCTGTTGTTTTTGCTGTGACAAAAACAATTCTGAAGGGACTGGTTTTAGTTTAAGGATGAATAAATTAACACGTTACATTTAAAATGGTCTAATCAATCGAGTTCTCAGTATTCAGCCTGTCCTCTTAGCCTGAAATAATTCTTCTTTATATTGGACTGTCATCCAATATAAATGGATGACAGTCTTCATCCTTATCTCTTTTACCTGCTATGATAATGAGGGAGGGATCTTTGGCAGATCTTCCCTCAGGCATTTCCCAGCTCATTATTGCCCTTTGAAAACTATTGTCACAAACAAATAAGTGACTTGGTATGGTATTGATTTGTTTTGAAATATATGCCTGACTTTGGGTTGGTAATTAAAGTTGTGTTTGTCCCACAGTCCCAGAATAAACTCTCCTGTGTGCATTTCATTTCACTAAGCTAAGTGTGGCTCTTACTTCCACCAGAAAGGGGCTTTGTAAGCCAAAATGATTGTTGCATTATATTTAGTAAATTCATAAGAACAAGAATGAAACTGCAGAAGTAAATGTACCTTGAAAACAGATGTCAAATTGGATGCCAATTTTATACTTTAAAGGGGCCGCATTATGTATTTTCCAGGGTCATGATTGCATTTTATAGCACAAAGAAGCAGCTATGTTACCTTCAGATGTTATAAAAATGCTTTATATCTCAAACAAAACTCAAAACAAATTTGACCTCCTAATGTAACACTTTAAAATTGAGCCTCTCTTCAAAAGAGAGGCTTCTCTTTATGTAGCTCTTATTTTTTTGACACTCCACCTTCAGCATGTTTTCACAAATCCACACACTTCTAGTTGTATTTTTAATGGACATTACAAATACCGTTGACATTAATCCATCCTCATAAATCACAGGAAAAGGCTTTAATACCCTTTAAAGTCTTCTGTCTGGATAAATCCAGGGTTTAGACTTAAAAGTGGATTCAGCTGACCACAGCGTTGTGGCTACATTCTTTCTGTGCAACTGATACAAGCTTGTGTCCAAAGATGAGGACAGGCTTTCCACCTTTGAGTTGATGTATGGTTTCACCTATTCATAACACAGTTTCAAGTTACATCCTGGATGCTGTAGGATGTGAAGTGTGCTGAGTGACAATGGCTTTCCATAGCAGTCCTCAGTCCATGTGTTTATATTGATGCTTGTCTTTTGCATAAAGGTTTTCTTCACACTCATTGAGTCTTTTCATTGTACAGTCCTACACAGAAAATCCAAACTCTTGTTATATTTTCCTTCTGCTGTTTCATGTATTAGACAAAAAAATAACTAGTGCTGCAACCAATGATTATTTGAGTAATCTATTATGATTATATTGGTTATTCTAATAATTGATCAGATTAAAGTTGCCATATTACACAGATTTTAATTTAACCACCTAAGTCTTATTTATCCTAAACTGCTACAACATATGTGCTCTCTACACCTTTAGCTTGATCATTTGTAGCGCATAATGTAGAATGTGAAAAGCTCAGCCTTTTTGTCAAGTACTCTTTGTCTAGTTTCTGGTGAATAAACAAGACTTTTTTCCCATGTTGTAAGTGAAATAATCTGCCAGTGGAACTAGAACATTTTTATCAATATTAAAAAAAAACATTGACTTAAAACAATCTATTAGGACTTGATGAAAAGTTACTTGTATGTTAGTTTTGTCTTATTTGAAGTGTACTAAGACATTTGTGTTAGGAACTGGACCAAAATTGTGTTTTTGCAGAGTACAAGTAATAGAAAAGTTTATTTTATTTTTCACAGAATTCGAACTGAGTTAAGCTACAAATGCCACTTTAGGCATTTGTAGCTTAAAGTGGCAGATTAAAGTTGCCATATTTAGGCAACTTTAATCTGCCACTTTAGGAGTTCTGGGTAGAACAGGTTTAGCAACAAAGAAGGTTAAGATTCTCGTAAATGCAAAATGTATATATTGTAGCAAATTTTGACTTAGTTATTGGTCTGAGTATATTCTGCTTTCAGTAAATGATATTTCAGTATTTTAGTCAGTATGCTGTTGTTGGTGATTAATCAATTACTAAATTAGTTGACAAATTTTTCAAAGATCGAATTATCGCTATTAATCTGATTAATTGTTTCAGCCTGAAATATAACAGTCAGAGTCTTGTTTTTCTTCAAGTGCTTATTTTCTTTGCGGATCTCATTATCATCTGATCATATGAAGCACATGAGCAACTGAAGTAGCCGTTAATGGAGCAGAGAAAGCTTTAAGTCTTCGAGTTTAATTTGTGCTGACCTCCCCAGCCCCTAAACGGTATTTGTTTTCTTACTTTATGAAAAAATCAATAGCCGTTCTGACAGAAAACAGCCCAGGAGAAGAAATAAATGGGAGCGCCTAAGCGTGCTGTCAATCATTTCTCACTTACACAACTGCAACAGTCTTGATTGCTGCTCAGTGGACTGCCACTCTGTACTGAGGGCTGAACAATCACACGGTTAAGCCTTGATGGAGGCAAAGGGGTATTAACAAATGGCAGCAGGGATGAGGGGCTGACAGTGTTACAACAGCAATATTTATACTTTGAGGCTGTGTGGTCCATTGGATGTCAGACACAGATGCCTTTGTTGAACCATGTGGATTCCTTTGGTTTCTTTTCATACTGTTAACCTTTTTCATTTAGAGCATTTGGTCTGCTGAAATGTGCCCCTCCTCAAGGTCACTCTCCTTATGTGCACGCCGAGTTGAGCTTTGCCTTCAGCCACCCAAGTGCAGGGAGAGCAGATGTTGGAAGCTCCAGTTGGACTCCACATCCTTGATTAGACCTGGCCCAGCCTGCTGGCACTGAGGCCACCTGGCACCCAGGCTGGCCCAGCAAGCAGCCCTAACCTGTGGGTAGTGGCTTCCCGGGCCCAACCTCCGTCTCCAGCTGTGTGCCGCTTCTGTTGATGTTGACTTCTTGGGAGGAAAAAAAAACTAAACAAATAACAAAAGCCTCTCAGAGCTTGCTCCGCTGTGTTGTGCTGTAATTTAGATTTTGAGAACTCCATGAGGAGTTTTTGAGGAGGCAGTTCAGCATTTGCTGAAGTTAATTTTAATAAATCTCTGAGACTAATCCAATTACTGCAGCTCAGGGAGGGTGGGATAACCTTATAATCAGACACCAATGGAAGAGGTCACAGATTTGGGTTGAAGCGACTTGTTTGAAGAGCTCGCAGATCCATTGTTATCAGCACTTTGCTCCCCTCCAACGCTCGTCTGCTTTATTCCTCTGCAGAATGAGCCTAGGCTCAATAAATGGTGGCTTGCCTGTAATCTCTGTGCAAACTGGTCTGCCTCTCCCAGGAGCTGAGGATTATATCCTAATGATTAGTCCTCATCTGGATACTGTGTTTGGCTTCTCCTCTTTGGCTTGTAGAGACAATTGGGCCATATGGGGAGTTCAGTTTATCTCCCTTAACTATGGAGTTTTGCCCTTACTCCCTTTAACGTACAGTCTAGTAAAAATATTCATATCCACTGAACTTGAAGTTTTATCCAACAACAAACCACAGTGTATTTTTATGAGGATTCTATGTGCCATACTAACACAAAGTAATCCATATCTGGTAAGTGAAAGAAAAGTGATACATGATTTCCAATTTTTTTTTACATATCAAAAAAGTTTCAGGTGCGAGTTCATACATTATTCCCTTCTTCCTCATGTTTGTGGCATTCTCTTCATGTCTTGGGTAAACTTCAGAAAAGTCTTCTTATGGCTTACTTTTGGAAATGACTTTCTTCTTGATACTCTTCAGTAAAGTATTGTTAAGTGTACAATTAATAGTTGTGAAGTTAACTGATTTCCGTACCTGAACTCTGGAGAAAGAATTTGTTTCTCCAGAGTTGTCTTGCACCTCTTGGCACTTCTCAGACTTGGGCTCCCCCTACCCTACCAGTCAGTTTAGTACTTTGCAATCTAGTAACTTATCTCATTAAAGTTCTAAATTCAAGAAAAATACACTCCAGGTTCGACTTATCTCTGGCAAAGGTCACCGCTTAATAAAGAAAACATATTTTGTCTCATAAAAAATGGTTTTTGTCAGTTTAATGAGTCTCTGAATAAATGTTAATACCCGTGTTTCTTAGACTTGGCATAACTTTTTCCAAAAAGCTGAAGAAATTATTTTTATTTAATAAAGCTGAAGAAAAATGTGTTCCTTGCTCGTACTTAACAGCATGAAATGTGCTAACGCCATAACAATTGTCTTTGTAAATGTTCAAACCTGCGTCCTCCACTGTACTGTGTGCATCAAATGTCAGCAGATGTTTCCATCGTCACTGAGGAGCGGCCCCGGGAATCAGTCTGGAGAGACGGGGTTGAAGGCGTTGGATGAGGGAGGATGGGGGAGGAGGGACAGTCCAGGGCTGGGCCAGACATCTTCCAGATTCTCAGGAGATGCCGTCTCCCCTTTCGCATCTGCTTCTCTTGGATGTTCAGGGAGATGATGCGCGACCATCTGGCCACAAATCAGATGTGAAGTCTGGATGGACGTTTTCTTATCCTGACGTCACTCTGAGCCCTGTGCAATATGGCGAAGCTCTGTATCAGCACATATCGAACCCTCCAGGTTTCTCCTGCAAGCAAGGTCAGAGATGATAAACAGGAAGCAATCTGCAAGAGAGTCAGGAAAACTCAGCTTCCGCTCCATTAGAGTAACACAAAGTTCAATTCTTAAACAATTCAGCTGCCACTGTTTAGTCAGAATCCTTGACATTTTTGTCATATAAAATGCTTCAGTTTTTGCTGTAATGAAGGACTGCAGTTTATTTATAAAACAAATAAAATACATTCTTACAGTATAAATCTGCTAAGTTTAACAATCTGCAAAATTATTAAACCACCTCTTAATTGTACTTTCCTTCCTTTTCTTTAAAATTTTCTAAAACATCTAAATTGTAGGCAGTTTTAGACTTTCTAAAACACCTTCTGACCTTTGCTACTTTTGCTAAAATTTTTGAACTGAAGCATGACAACACAATTTGTAATGCAAGTGGATCAGTCATTAAATATTTATCTTCAGAGCAGACATTATGTATTAACACGTTAACGGGAGAGGTGTCACTGTAAAACAGAGTTACACAGTTTTTGTAAAACAGATAGAATACTTTTGGAAGTCACGTTTAAAACTTTCTGTCATTATTTATTAAGGCTGGTGGGATTAATCATGAGGTTTCTTTTATTGAAATTATCGTCAACTAATTTAGTAATTGATTGTTTACTGGAGTATACAGATTCAAAAATTTACATTTGCTGAAACAACACACTCAGAGCAGCAATTAAACCTAATCTGTGCAAAATTTGTATATATCTTGCATGTAAGATAAAAAAAAATCCTCTGTCTGTAGATATTTTTTTTGCTAAAACTTCTTAAGTGGCTTAGTTTTAGCTTCACCTGGCTCATATTAATTAGAGAAATGGTATGCTATTTCTTTATAAGCAAAAAAATGCTTGTTTTTATTTTAAAAAGGAATTAAATCACTTGTTTTTTATGTATTTCTCACATAGTATAAAAAAGGCTTACAACGTTAAATGAAAAATCTGAAAAATACTGATTATTTTCAATTTGATTAATTATCACAATAATTGATTGAATAATCAATTCCTAAAACAATGATTTACGTGCCACCCTGCAACTTACATTTTTGACTACCACTCTTAGTAACTGGCATTATTGAAATAGCAGTTTCCAAGTGTATTCCCTTATGAATAATGATCTTAGCTTTGAGATTTCCACTAAGAGGGGTTTGCCAGAGGGTGTGGAGTGGACCAGCAGTGGGGCGGTCTGGATGGTAAGTGATGGCAGCCCACACAGCAGATGTCAGTCAGTTGCTGCGTGGAAGTGGTGGCATGTCTGTGGATTGGTGTGTGTGAGGGGCACACCCAAAGGCAGGGGCGGCCAGGGAGACTGTGCTTCTCATTGCTGTCATCCTCCACAATGTGGACCAGATTAGATTGGAGCTGACAGCGGAGGATATTCAATTAGATTGTTCATGTCACTCAGTGGCTTCGATCAGAGTCCCTCCTGATGCCTTTGTGTTCGCCATCGCAACGAGGCAGAAAAACACAGCGCTCTGTCTTTTTGTGTCATTTCTATTCATGTCGACCTTCGGCTTTGCTCTTTTTCATTATTTTTGTTACTGAATGCCACATTTTAGATATTGATATTTCAGGGGTCATGTAAATTCTTAATTTACATTGTTCACTTTTCAGATTCCATAACATTCATCCGACCTCCAAAGAGATCCAAACAAGTCTTAGATCCTTAATCTATTTTTCTCGTGTCTTTTCTTTGCAGGGAAACCAGCAGCACGTGCAGCAGTGACCCTGGACTGTTCACCAATGATGAAGGAAGACAAGGTATCACGAACTGATCTGCCTTAACACATAGTATTTTATAAAAAATTTGTGAACATGCTTGTGCCCAATTCTGAGTGAATTCCTGGGCTTGATAAAGAGGTTTGGCTACAATGGGCTGGTTGCTGGGTACCCAGGCGACTCTAATAAGACGTTGTCATGTCGTGTTAATGAGCGCTGAAGCCTTTGCTAATCTCATTAGCCGCGGTGGGGCCGGGCGGCCTCTGATTTAACAGTTGTCACTACACCTTGACTGTGAGAGGCATGGTTCCTGTGGACAGTTTGCTGAGTGACAGGCCTGAGATCAGCTTGTTGTCTGGGGAAGAACCAGTGTTGTCTGGTGCTTTGCAGTCCACTGAGAAACTTCAGACTTTTAAATTTTCCCACAATCAAAATGGTTTAGGAAAGAACCAATGTTTATCAGGCATTATCACTCCAACCAATAATGCATTTACCTTCCCATGTATGCAGGTGATGATGAGCAGAGCGACTGGTTCTTTGAAGGGGACTGTGGAGTTGGCTTGCTCCCCAACTGGGACTCTGACAGTCCGCTTTCACTTGAGGATAGACAATCCTCCACCAGCTTCCTTCAACCTGCACGGCGCGCTGTTAGAGGTGGTCAAAGTTTTTATATTTCTTTTTAGGGATATAACTGAGGGATTCTGTGATGTTCAGACTCCATGTGGCCGAGTCTCAGGGTTGCTGCACAATTTGGAAAAACTGCCAGATGTCAAAGTTTCCCGTGTCTGCATTAAAATAAAAAAAGTGACATCCTTCTATCCTTCCAAATAGCCAGCCAGTTAGCAAATTGATTGACTGGCTAGCTAATTAGCCAGCTAGCTGGCTAGCTTGTCATATCTTTCTTTATACATCATGTGCCTTTGACTCTTATTTCATTCATCATTGCCAGAACTGTAGACAGTTTCATTTATTTTATATCATAATTCAATAAACAAAAAAAGGAATCCATTGGTTTCAGTCAGCTGTGAGGAAAAGGAAATAAAGTTTTTTTTTTAACTTGTTGCAGGGTATCATTCACGCCCTAAACGATTGGCTTGCTCTGCTGCCTGCTGCATCAGGCGGGACAGGAGGCATCTTCCTAGAAAGGTAAAAGAAATGCATCCTCATTAATGTTAAAGAAGCTGAAAACTGTTGTACCAACTTTGCTTTGTTTTGTTTTGTTGCAACTTTTGTTGAACAGAGCAACAACATGCCGGTGTTTGTGGAAAGACTTAGACATTTATCTGCAGATCATTGCCAGAGAAAGTAAGACTCACTAAGAGAACCTGCTGAAACTGAGGTTGCCATGTGGATTTTGCCATTTATTGTTTCGTTGTATCCTTTTAGATTTTGGCTGCCTTCTGTTGGGAATCAAGACAGAAACCAGGCATGTTATGATATCAAATCCTTTTTTATGTAATCTTACTTTTGTTCTGTTGAAACTTTCAATTATAAAATTTGACACTTGAAATTTACAGTCAAACCCTTTGTGCCCACTACCGATGTGTCCCAGTGACATGATGTCAGAGGGTTCTTATGTCAGATGTTCCCCCCCATCCATCAGAAGCAGGTAGGTAATGACAAAAGTTAAGCGAAGCACCATTGTCTCCTTTATTATTGTCTGCAGATTAAAAAACAAGTTTATATCTTTATTTCATTTGCTTTGGAGCAAATACACACTTTGGTTGCATCTATTGTATCGTGCAAAAGTACAGCACACTATTTTAAGGCTGAGGAGAAATAATAATGGTTGTTTTTTTTTTAGAATCTGTGGTATGTACCACAGTTGTGCTCTCCACAAGTGTGCCATTATTGCAAGATAGTGCAGAAGAAATATTTGCTATATTTGACAATGGATGTATAATTGAGACCACAAACACGTGGAAGAACATGTTTTATTTGGTCTACATCACCTGTGTCAAAATCCAGACCTGGGGGGCCACTGCCCTGCAACTTTTAGATATGCCTCTGTTGCACCACACCTGAATAGAATAATTAGGTCATTAGCAAGGCTCTGGAGAACTGAGATACACGAGGAAGAGGTAATTAAGCCATTTTATTCCAGGGTTTTGTACCTGTGGCACATCTAAAAACTGCAGGACAGTGTCTCTTGAGAACTGGAGTTTGACACGTCTGGTCCACATACAAAATGCTATGAGAGGCAGAAAACTGTCAGCAGATAACTTTGAATACACCATCCCCACTGTGACCCAATGTTTGGAGAATCACAGTGTAATAAGGATTTTTTTAAGCTGGGATATGGAGGCTGTTTAGATTCAGGAGGAAAATGAACTTAGCTAAATACCAGGAAATCTGTAAAACAACAACTACTACAACTACTTCATAACTGTAGACTACTAAAAACCCAGCAAAATACATTGATGTTTTTGGTTGTGATGTGACAAGACATGGAAAATACAAAATGGTGTTAATACATTTTTAAGGTACTGTAACTGCATAATATTTTGCAGTTTTCTCTTTTCAGATATGAATGGTCAAACATATATTTTTTATGCATAAGACTAATATTTTGACCAAATAAAATCTGTCCATTAATGAAAATCTAGTTCCAAAGTTGGAGCTAAGCTAACAACAGTAAGCCACTGAAGTACCTCTCAGATTTGACTCAACTTAGTAGTTTTCAAGGTCAGGTACTACAAATAGAGAGATGCTTTGTTGACTTAATGTTGATTTAAATTCCACCATTTCTAGGTCGGCAAAGAAGCATTAGAGAAATCCAAAAGATGTTTGTCAAAGCGTCTCGTTGCTCCCAGTCTTCCCTGGAACAGTTGAATCTGCATGGGGAGCTGGTGAGGAACTGAGCAGCCCTCTTGGCCTGGAGACTGTGGGACTTCTTATTGTTTTGTTTCCACTCTGCCTATTTATGGTGCATTCCTAATTTTTGTTTCATACACACATATTCAGGCGCCTTTCCTTCCCCACTCTCTTGGGTTATTTCACAGAGCGTTCAGGCTCTTCTTGATGAGGAGCAAAAACACGACTGCTATGAAAAACACGACTGCCAAGGAAAAGCCCCCGACTTCTTGCATGTCTGAGGGCTTTCTTTTCTAAACTGGCCCTTTTTTCTCCACCTGAAAGGTTCCTTCAGATTCCAGTTTAAGGCATTGTGAATACTAATTTCTCCTATTAAAAAGCCCTCATATCCCTGCCATGCTCTCATTTGAATGGCAGACTCAGGGGAGATCTCTTAATTCCTTTATAGTGGGATTCAAGACCCTTCACTTCAAAAAGTATAAATCATACTCCCAAATGAATGAGGGAGAGAGTGGGAGGGGATTGACGAGAGGGGCTTCTGATGTGTTTCGTTGGTCGGCACAAGCTGAATCCGTTTCCCAGAGGTGTTCAAATCCACTCTCCAGTGATACGACTGCCTTGTGCTTACGACCCGACTCCTGGGTCAGTCAAGTTCATCCCAAACAATTACAACCAAAAAAGAAATGTCTCTTAGTGGTCGGTTTTGATTGGTGCTCTTTGTTTTATTTGAAAATGTAATAATACCTCTTGAACTTTTCACGTTTTTTCACAATACAACAGAAACCTCTGATGCATTTAATGGTATTGTATGCGACTCAAAGTATTGAGTTGAGCATGTCATTTTAAAAATTTTGCAAGTAAAAAAACATTTCAGAACATAATTAGTCAAGAGGGTTATGGTACCTCTCGAGGAGGAGTTGTGGAGACCAAAAGCTGACAATCTCTTTCATTAGTTGTGCACTACATATTTCTGATTTTCATTGTTGGTAGAAATCCTCAAGAAGTCTTCAGAAACAATTTAGTAGAGTCGTATGGAAGAAGCTGCTTAAGTAAGAGAAGACAATTTGAGCAGAACAATACCCTAACAATGCACCATCTCCTACATGATACATGGAAGTGACAACAACATTCTGTGGGCATGCATATCTGGATGGATGGAGCTACATACAGGGGAAATGTGGAATTAAACACTTTACATCCTGTGAAAGATGTGAGACTGGGGCTGTGTTGGTTTTTGATGTGGGCTGTTTGGACAGTTGCATTAGAAAGGGGGTAGACCCTCAGGAATTAGAAAATAGAATATATATTATCTGTTAGTTGTGCTCTGAAAAAGATTGCAATTTTGGTTACTTTTGAAAATAAAAAATCATTATCTCTGCCCCACCTCTGACAACCCTGAGAACTATCTATTCCAGGTAAGATACTGACCACTTATAGAGACTCCATTACACCTCAGGATTTTTTTTTTCTCATGGTGATTTGTACAACAACCCATTTACCACCAAGGCTCAATCCTGGAATAATCCTAAAACCGTAATTCCAGGATTGAGCCTGGAATAACAGCTCAATCCGTTATTCGGGATATAGCGGATTACCAGTGTGATTTTCCAGAATTATTCTGGATCTATACATTTGCTGGCAAAGTGGCAGGATCATGCTGTGGGACTGGTTGCTGCCAGAACTACTGCTGCACTGCACAAAATCCAGGCAGCAATAAAGGATGTAGACCGCTTCGTTTTCCCATCTTTATTTATGTTTTAGTGTGTTTTCATCTTATCTTTGAATCTTTGTGTTAGCAGATGCAGTGTTTTGTGGGATTAGGTTGCATCGGGGCCACTGGCCACTTTAAAATGCATAACTGCCTCCCACCCGAGCTGCACAGGACTAGCATCTTTTATCTATTGACTTATTTATTCCTAAATGACACTTGCGCTATGAGATAAATCATAGTCTTACACCACTCCCTTCCCAGTTTTCATTTTAATTGTGAGATCACATTGTCAGCAGTTAGTATATTGGTGTGAGTGGCCTATTGATTATTGATTTGGAGTTATTGATTTTACTCCCTGGAGAGCCTAATCCTTTCTGATTCATTTGAATTCCTCTATTAATCTTGAGATCCCGCTCACACCTGAACCAGCATGTACACTAATGAAAATAGATGGTTGTTTTTCTTACTGCGACTTCTCCCTCTGCTTTTGATTCATCATTTCTAATTGATATATTTGCTTTTGGATGTGTGCGCTAAAATTACAATTGACCCCGTGTCAGTGCTGTTTTACTTTGCACCCTGAGGGACTTCATTGTGTTTTAAAGTCTCATATGACCTAAAAAATCCATCTTGTGCACATTTTTCTCGGTGTCCTTGTGTCTTTGATAGCATTTAGTTGTTGGCCCCCTTTTTTGCTGCATAGAGCCTCAAAGTCAATCTTTGCTCCTGCATCACACTTTCAGTAAATTTAGACAGAGACATCTGTCGAGTTTTTGAAAACTGATGAAGTAACAGATGTTAAATAATATTAACACTGCAGTGTTTTTTTTTTTTTTTTTTTTTGCACAACTGCTGATATTTGTAGCTTGCAGTTTCTGCTGAAATAATTGGTAATTCCCCTGCTTAATGAGCCAGCTGATCGTTTTCTCATGTTTGATTAGGATTGTGCTGAGTGCCTCAGTGGGCTGCGGATGGCCCCGAAGAGGCTCCGTCTCCCAGCACTCTGCAGCAGGAAAGGGCGCTTTCCTCCCTTCAGGCTGCAGGTTGGCTGCATGTCGCTGCCTCGATGCAGTGAGGAAGGAGATAGAGGGATGGCCCTCCATACATTAAGGCCAAATGCATCACAGTATTACATTTAATGCCACAGGCGTGCCTTGTGAAATAATGCGACGTTTAAATGTGGATCGATTTTGGAATTAAAAAGTTAGTTTGCAAAGATTTACTGTGGGGAGTTCAATGTCTGAGCTCTTTATCAGGGGCGCAAATGGCTGGTTATGTGCTGTCCGACAGAGGTACGATTGAGGGATCGATAGGCGCGTGATTTACTAACTGGAGTACAGGTAATCAATAAGTATAAAAGTAAATGAAATATGCATTACTGGGATTTTATTAGAGAAAGGTAGCAGGGAGAGAATAACGGTCAGGCCATTTATTTTTATATCTATTGATTATACAACATAGGGACTTCACTCAGAGCGTGCCCTGAACAGCTCTCAACACCCAGCGCCTGCACACCCGTCATGTGATTTATGGGTGTTGAGGTCATGGAATGGGTTGCCAGTTAAAACGTTGGCCTGATAGGACCTCGCTGTACAATGTGTCTGTAAGGGATGAGAAGCTTTATGCAACCTGGTGTCTGAGGGGGATGTCCTACTTTTCCTCTGTCTGCATTTCTGCTGTTTTAAGATATTGTCTTGAAGATTTATTGATATTCAGTTCATGTCACACTTTGTTTCTATTTGTTTAATGTAGTCTATGAAGAATATTAAAGATATAACCATACTAGACATATTTTAATTTTCTTGACTTCCTTAATTACAAATTTTATATTATTTTTAAAAAACAACTGGTTACGCAATTTTTAATTTATTAAAAGTTTTCTCTAATCCACACAAACTCAAAATGCATACAAATAGCTAACCAGTTTAACTTAGCTCTACTGATTCTCACTAAGAGAAGAAATTGTATGCCAGATGCTTCTTTAAGGCATACAAAAGCAATGGAGCCACTTGCTAAGGGACATTATTACAAAGATTTGTTGGAATGTAAGATTATATTTATTAACCCTGAATGTAAATATCAGCCACACGTTACAGGCTGAATTACCATTCCACCTTTGAAAAAAAACTCTAAAAATGTAAAACTCTATGATAGTGATTTTAATCATGACTTTAATACATGATGAATGTTGGCCCTCACTATAACAGTTTCCCCTGAAAACTTGACATAAAATATATGATAAACTGCAGGATGATAATTCTCAGGTCCTTTTTTCTTTTGTCAAAGTTATGACTTTCAGATACTATTAATCAAGAAATCTTCAAAAGATTATAAGAAAGTCTGGCCTTGCAGAAATTATATCAAAAAAGATTGTCTGTAAAAACTTTTGAAAAATATTTTGTATAATTAAGGACTATAAAGGCACCATAATTGCAGATTTCATCTTAAATATTCATGCCACTTCTCTCTTGTGCCTACATTAAAAGTCTCTCCTACCTCCAGATGAAGGTGCAATCCTTGAACTTAAATTCTTCCCTCCAATATTTAGAGCTATTGAGATCAGTGATTAAGCTTTTCTGCTGGCAAGTGATCCTAACATGATGCACGTAGCCCAGAGCAGCGTCATGTGTTTAACAGAAAAATGGCTCTGATTCAGCATTTCTACTCACTTAAGAGTTTTATGAAAAAAAAAGCTTAATGAAGAAAAATGTTGATTTTACAAAATGCATGGACGACTGCAAACAAAGTGTGTTTCCAAATGTGCAGTGCTGGTTTTTATTGACTTTTGTAAAAATATTTTATGATTTGGTGATATTTTTGTCTCTCTGGTCCTCCAGGCAGATTAATTTCATTCCGGGACTGTTGTGCTCATCTGACATGCGGAGGAAGAAAGAAGCAGAAGCTGTTTTCATCACAACATCAGGTAACAGCCTTCACACAGTCACATATCTGCACTAATTTGGAGACCACGTCTTAAAGATGTGGTCTCCAAACTATTGTATTACACATGTTTTTCTGTGGTTTAGCAGCTTTGGTTAGATGTTATTTTTAATGCTGGTGTTGCAATGTAACACTGATGTGATTTTCTTTAAACAGACTTCTTGGGATAACAATTTGGTTTAGGAGAAGTCACTGGTAAAAGGTTTTTTTCTTGATTTTAGGATTCATTTGCAATTACTCGACTTAGTTTCCTATCTAAATTTCATCCCGCTGTCTGTCCATTCATCCATCTAAGCAAGAAATTCTTCAATTCATAATAAAATTCTAATTTTACACTTAAAAAAGACTGACAAGTTGTAAAAAAATTGGAGTTTGAAAAGATTTTTAGTATTTACATAAAAATGTGTAGGAAATTAGTTTTTGCCGTTACTTATTGTTCTATATTCTTAAAAACAACGCTGGTTTGTCCATCCCAGTCTATTTCCTCCACTCTATTCTCCAGCTTTAAATTTTCTTTTTGTTCTTCTCAGTATGGTTATTGTCAAGATACAGCAGAAACACCAAGTCAAAGTAGAATGTTCTTTTTGGAACATGAAAGCAAACATTTTTATGAAACAATCTACTTGAGTGGTATTATAGGCCTGTATCAATAAAAATGGAAGCAGTAAGGGGAGATATGAAATGGACATTTGTGACAGCACAATAGCATTTTACAAGCTACTGAAAAATGTCAGATTTGCTTCTTTTTTACAGCAGAAACTGTCCTCTGCTGTCTCTGTTTCTTTTTTATTTATTTATTTTTTATCTTTGTCTAACGCAGATTATAACCCCAATGTTTTAACTTTTTAACGAAGCCATTGTCTCTGGACAATTGTTTCTTAGTCTTCCTTATGCTGTTTCTTCTCTGATTATTTGGGAAGGTGGTAAGGAGAGGTTCAGCACAGAGAAGTGATAATTGGCATTACACGGAGTTTACTCTCTCTCAGAAGACATTAAGCTGTCTGTGCTGTGTGTGTTTAGACCAGTGGAGCTGCCTGTTTTCATTAGCCTGATGGCTCTGAACCTTGTGTTTTTACCGGATTGAAATCTGAATTGGTTTGTCCACCATTTCCTTTCCATTCACCACTCCTGCAGCTGCAGTTTGTCATTTAAATAACAAATGCTGGTGGTTCCCTGATTTACTGAGGGGTGCGGGCCCCTGATGTATATTAATATTGCTGCACAGGGCTCTGTACTGGGGTCCATCATTCATTTGGATAAAAGAGGTGGAATTTAAAAACAGCCAATGCTTTGCTTGGATACAGATTGGATCCATTTATTGCACTGAGTGATGGAATAGCTGGCAATTCTGTCCTTCACCTTCCCAGTGCTGAACCTCTTCCCATAAAAGTAGAAAAAAACAGATTCACCCCTGGCCCCTAAGGACCTCTTGCACTCAACATGCAGAAGCAGGACATCCCTCAGTCTGTTGACAGGTAACCTGTAGTCTACTATAAACAGACTGAAAATGAAATCATTTTGAAAATATCTATTTTTTTGTTGAATTTTGCACGTTTTTTTTGTGTTTTGTACATAAATTGTGAATATAAAATTGCTTGAATTTAATATTAAAGTCTGTCTATGTGTAAGGGGATGGTAAAGAGGGAGAGTTACTGAACAGCACCTCCTCTCCGATCCTGTTCGGACTGCTTTACTGTTTCTTGAGCCTAGTGCCCCCTGCCCACTATGATTTATCATGCATCCCATGTCGTCCAATGTCAGTTTCTGCAGCTGCAACTGCTCTGTATAAATCTTTACTTTGGCAGCCCCCTGTACCATGTCTCTGCTCAGTAATCACAGGACCTCCAGGAGATGCACACTTACTCTGACAAGCTTTCACACTCTCCGCACAGGAATTTTGGTTTGCTGCCACTCTGACATAAATGTGCACAGAGGCAAATCAGATTCTGTGATTTACTGAGTGAAGTCGTTTCCCGGTAGGCATCCTGTTTGCATGGAAAGATTGTTGTCTGCATTCAGTAGAAAGAGCGACATATTACTCTTAGTGAACACGACAGCTGAGTCTTTGGATTAGCCAGAGGAAGTGGATTGTTGTATATGAAAGTGGCTGGATCTGGAACTCTGTAATCAGGAGTGAAAATGGTCTGTGGCTGAAGGCATCCTCCGGGACTCCACAGGAAATTACTCAGGCGGTACCCAGCTGTTGCTTTGTCTTCTTTCTTTACCCTTTTAGCACCTTCACGGCACTGCTAAACCTGGTTGTGAAGAAAAAAAAACAACAAAACACAAGAACTTATCAGGCCAGGTATCTGTTTGGATTAGATGACCACTCCATTTCTCAGCTTTAAATTGGAGACTTTCTACTTTTCTTCCTGCCAATCCAGAAATTCAACTCAGTCCAACAAGTTTTTGAACAAAATATACTTTTGTTGTTCTTTCTCCCCATTTAACAGTTGTAAGGGTATATATTATCAAGACTAGAACCTTTTCTTTTTTATTTCAGGGTTGTAGCTTTTAATTACTCTGTTCAGATACATGTTTGAAATTCAGAAGTACCAGTATGTAAAAAAGAAAAAGAAAACAGGCAGTTGCTGACAAAATATAGAGTGATGATGTTAAAGTTTAATTAATAAATTAAGGAATTACTTTGGGAACGTAGTAAGTACTCTTTTCTGATATAGTTTTGAGATCTAACAAACCGGCTCCTTTGGAAATCATTCTATGATGAGCTTGTTTTGCCCATAATTTGCCAGTGGAGTAAGGACTCTTCCAACAAAACCTGTTATTTGAAACCTTTGAAATTTGTTGCTTCCATTTCACTGAACCACGGTCACCAGAGTACTTGTGTTTGGGAGCCAGTGATTGGACAAGTCTCACTTGTCTCCAAATAATCTGTCCATCTTTGACGTATTTGTGAAAGTTTAACCAGACTACTGTAATGTAGCTGTGGAAATGTTATTGCAGGGCATTTTAATAACAACTCAAGTTTCTCTGTAACTACTTTTCTCATAGTAAGATGAATTTTTGTTCTAAAAGCTCACTCTTGGTTAAAACTGAAATTAAAATACGTGTCCGTCAAGTGTTTAGGGATTTATTTGGTTCAGACACAGAGAGAGATAAGTGTGCAAATGCAGCTGTTTATCAGTGGCGATAACTTATTAAATTGACTGAAAATGGTAGCCTTGGATATGTGCTTGCATAGTTCCAAGATTTTATGCGTTTTTGATCCATTATCTGATTTAGGTATGTATATGATGATCGTTCCAGGAAGGAATTAGAAATTAGACTTGTTTATAGTCAAGTCAGAATCAGACTGTTTGCTGTTTTGATGTGTAGGTACAATATGGGTACCCAGGTGCAGGCCAGCCCTTAGCCAGGGCGAGGCCACTTCCACTCCCCCTCTGCCTTCATATGTCCCCTTGCCCAAGCGAGACGGCAGCGTGACAGATCACCTGCGCCGGAGGCCCGGCGCGTTCCTGCCCGGCGGTCCGGCCCCCTCTCATTAATGCCCAGGCTGGTGCGAGGGCTGTGTGGCAGCACAAGACAAATAACGCTACCACTCAGCCATCACTTGTGCTGACAGAAATGCAGCCCACCGCACTATTTTGCCCTCTCAAGCTCCACTCCACAACCTGCTCTTGTCCTTCAACCCCCACCCCCATTTATTCGGTCTCTACCTGCACCTGTCTGCCCTGCTCCACCAAACCTTTACTTGCAGTGGGGTGGAGGGTTGATGTTGCTGCAGGGTGAGTTTAGCCCTGAAATTCACACTGGTTGATGTACAGGCTCCACTTACCAGCTGCCTTTGCATAAACACAGTTTTCTCTTTGTCTTTATGGAGACATATTTGGTTTTAGCAGCCCATTCTGTCAGGTGCTTCTTGTGTGCAAACCCTCTTGTCGGGAGGTCTGATTTGAACGTCTTATTTTTGCATTTGTAAAAAGAGCCTGAGAGTGTGTGCGTGTGCAAGTGTGTGTGTGTGTTCATGAGAGGGAGCAGCAGAGAAAAAGAGGGAGAGAGAAACACAAAGGCTAATCATTAAAGAGGCATTCAACCCTGTTCATTTAAGTGTGGGAATCAGCAGGCCCATTACTGTCAATGTGTAATTAGCTGATTAATAAACAGGGGGAGCGACAGTGCTCCAGGAAGGCCTGTAATGATTGTTTTTAGAGAGCATCTCATAAGAGCTTATTAAGATGGTGAGGTGGTTCCATTCAACTTCCCATTATCACCCACAGTAAATGTATGTACTGTAATTCTTCCTCTGACAGAGAATCGTTGCATCCTAATTTCTTCACTGACCTTGGTGTAAAACTACTTGATTGCAGGTGTTGCTTTTGCTTCACTAAGGGAACACTTACTCAGTTTTCTTTAAAGTTATCATTTAAACAAATAAATTCCCTCTTAAATAGTATTATATAAAAAGCATTGCATTTTTTTTCATTTGGCTTTATGTTTCTAGATTCAATTCAGCTTTTTTCCCCATTAACCGCATTTGCGCTGATATTCCTAAATAAAATCCACTCCAGCAATTTTTAATTCTTTTGTCAGACTCTCATTAGATCAAGGTCTAAACTTTAACAAGACCATTTTAATCCTCTCTATGACCCCCCACAGAATGATGCTGTCACCACCATGTTTCACTGCAGCAGTGAGGCGTTTACCCCATTTGCAGGGTGTGTTGGTTTTTGGAAAAAAAATGTTTATTAAGTTTGATTGGAAGTTCAAAATATCCTAATAAAATACTTTGCTGTCTTGTCTTTATATAATTTTAACTAAAGAGTTGGTTTTGTAAACTACTGTTCAAAACTCTTGAGTAATCCCTCACTTTGCCATTCAAGGTGCCAGTAATTTTTTCAAAGACATTTGAACAATATTTCTTTGTGGTTTTTAAGGTCTTTCAAAGTTTTCTGTAGACTTTTGTATTTTTTTATTTTGAGTCCTGAATTTTTTTCATATCTAAACTGATTATTATTTGGACTAAAAACTCCTATAAAATAATATTATATGTTTGAAAAACTCAGCAAAGAACCACATCAAGTTGTGATCTTGATGCACGTTGCTAGGTTGAGCCTGTCACAAAGTCACAGTTTGCTGCATTTATTTTTGACAAAGAGGCATATTTATCAAGATGCTGGTAATGACTGCAATTCAAGATATTGTGGATATCTATTTTTAAATAATTTGAATCTAATATTATGTACTAAATAATAGCACAAAAGTCAACATTTTAGAATAAAGTGGGAAAGCTTGTAAAACTTACACTAAAACCCTTCATACATATAAATTGCGTAAAAACCATTTAATTTGAAGGGGGTTTATTTTGTTTCTACTATGACTGCATTGTCTCATCCTGACTCTGACCTTCACGTTGGACTTTTGTTGGTATGTTGTACACCTCTCTCATGCTAATGCACTCAAACTAATGTTCCCTGCCATTTCTTTGTATCTGTCAAATATGAAAACTCCTGAATTTTGATCAAGCCTTTTGACTATGTTTAACCCGAAGTGTTTTGGTTGGACCTCAGCAGCAGTTAGTCATCATTCCCTCAAGAAATATTAATCAATTATCTTGCCCGCCGGATCAGTTTGGGGAAGAAGTCATCTGGAAAGAGGCACAAGCAGATATAAGGGGAAAGAACTAAAGCACATGCCAGTGAATGCTGTAATGTCTAATCTTTTGAGACAGCCCACAGCCACAATGTCACTTCTTGTTGCCTTGTCCTCTGCTGTGGGGCTGCCTGGAAAATACATTGTGTGACTGGTGCTACCTTTTTCGGGTGGCGACCTGGAAGGATTTTTTTTTATCAGAACTGAAGAAGAAGCTGTAGGAAAGCAGGTTAGGGAGCAAATTTGTTCCTTTGTTCTTCTGTCTCCGGTGAAAATACGCTTTGCATTTTCCAAACCAAAGAGGACCTGTAACGGGAAAGGTGTAGTGAGAAACGAATTGTGATGATTAGAGTTAAAAACATAAATGCTACAAAACTGGTTAAGTTTAAAAAGCTGGAAAAAATGACCTTTTAATATCCATGTCCACAAGTCATATGGGGCCAAATTGGATTTGGCTCACATGACCAAAATCTCATTAATATTTAACTTATTAGAGGATTGCTTCAGTTCTATTTCCACACATCCAAAGCAGTGATCCATGAGTTCAGAATTTGATTTATTATTTTAATTCAAGTAGCTTCAGTGAGCAAAAAAGGCGGATTTTACAAGCGCATGTGAGAAACTTAGCGTATCATTAAATGTTAATTTATTTAACTAATTTTATTGCCATTCAGTACATATGGAGATTTCTAATTTTGAATTTAGAAATCTAAAAGTTTAGAAGTTTCCAGAGTATGAGGAAGCATGAAGTTTCTACAGTCAGTGATTATTTGAGTAGCCATGTCATTTGGGGTTGGTCCAATGTGTTTTCTGAAGTCCAACAAGCTGATTCATGGAGATGCAGATTTTTTTTTTCCAGCAGGACTTTGCAACTGCAGACACTGCTATGAAAATGTAATCAACATATTTTGTGTATCCCATAAATTCATCTTAACCTAAGGAAGCATAATAGGTAATATTTAAGGTATACATATACACCTACATAAATCTATATAAATGACAATTTTCACTTTTTGTCTTGAAATGAATAAACTTTTCACTAATATTCTAATTTATTGATCCACCCGTATTGAACCTTTTTCTTTTTTGCCCCATGTTTCAAAATTTGAAATGTTCTTTGTCTTTCTTTTTAGCTATCAACCCATTTCATAAAGATCAGCAGAGAAAGGAGGCAAAAGGAGGTGCCTGCAGTAACACACCAAACCCTGAAGCAGTAGGACCAAGTACACCTCAGCCTCCTACTTCTGCTCAGCCTGAGAGTTCGTCTTTACTCCAGGGAAACCACGAGGACACTTGAAAGAGGCTTGACAGACCCATCTAATTCCTAAAGCGATTGTGCCTGAGAACAAAATAGCTAGAACCCCCTTCTACTCCACCAACTTTACAACAAAGAAAGAAAAATACAAAAGCACATCATTAGTCTTCAAATCAGCATGTTCCTGCTCGATCCAGCCCTTCCAGGTAGTATATTAAGCATGACAAATGTTAATGCAATCAAGCCTTGTTAAGCGCTTCGCCATCTCCTTAAGCAAGAAGGCAGCTTCAAGTGGCTCCTCGTTCGACTCAAGACTTTACTTCTCTTCCTGTTTCCACACTGAGTCTCCAGGCCACCCGCCACTGCATAATCCATTAATTATGTCCACTCCTGTAGCACAGCACTTGTCAGCAGGAACCTTGGAAAGTATGGCCAGTTGAGGCTCGTTGACCAGGGGGCGTCTGCTCCACTTTAGGGGAACCAACAATGGCTGTAAAGCAGCTAGCTCTGAGGGAGATGAACATCACAATGTTTAGCTGCCACATGCTGTTGCAGGGTTAAGAGAGGCGACCACCGCTGGCGAGGCACACAAAGTACAGGCCTCCTATTAGCATGGATTTGAAAAGCTACAGTTGCTACAAAGGTGCTCATTAGCACAACACAGAGGAAGCATAGTCATGGTCCTTGGAGGGCCGCCTCTGTTCTCTTCAGGTTACCTTCTATATTCAAATTTTCCCTAACAGATTTAAAGTTCAAGGCTGGCTGTAAATCTTTCTAAAAAAAGAAAAAAAAGTTGTTTTTTAGCAATGCTGGCTGAGTTGCTTTTAGAGCTGGAGGAGCAACAGGAAACAGGGAAGGAGGGTTATACACAGTATCCTCAAAACCCCTCTGGTTATATGGTTTCCAAGTGGTTTTATCTTTAGGAGATCAATGGCAGCATACAGAGGGAACAAACAAAATAATCTGAGCAAAGCAAATAAATAGGTGCGTAGAAAAGGATGTGCAAAGCAATAATATCAATTCAACTTTTAGTGCAGTAGCATTATCTCAATTGAAAAATGCAGAATATTCAATCACCTATAATGTAAGTACATTTATTCAATGATGAAAATTATATCAATATATTTTACGGCCCATATTTTTGTCAGTAGGACAATGTAGAAAGATCTTTGAGGATTCCTCTACCCTCTCCCAATTTGAGTCAGAGTCCTGAACTTATTGTATTTTCCCTTCATTTCAGCTCAATCAACAGATTTTCTGAAGGTCCAGGTGAATCAGTCCTGTCTTGATTTGCCCATATATTTTGGATAATGTTCCAGCTGAAAGACCCATTGATGACCCATTTTTATTTTTCTGGTGGAATTCATCTTAAATTCCAATTTAAGATGGAATCTGGTATTTTAATGAGTTTGTGATGCACAGCATTTTAACAAAGCTCCTTGAAAATTTAGAAAAGAAAGAAACCCATCACATCACAGATCATCCACCATGATTAGAGGAAAATAAAAATAACCTATATTGTCTTTGAGTAGGGAAATTTAGGTGTACTAGCAGCAGAAAGGTACAGGTACACAGAAGCATGCATGTTTAAACATGCATGGTTGAAAAATAGAAAAATAAGAATAAGAGAACCAAGTTTTTAGTCAAATATTACTTATTACCAGTAAAAACTGCAAGTGTAAGCAGCATACCCTGCTAAATGTCTGATGAAGTTTTTAACCAAAAGTTAATCACATCTTTTAATGTCTTTTTTACAGAAATTCACAACATAATCACCAGCTGTATGACATGTCTTTTCAGATATTTTAAAGCCTTTTTAAAGAGAAGAATTGCATTTAATAAAATGAGATTTGCTAATTAATGTGAGTTATATGTCTGCAATAATCTGTGTAAGACGGATTTATGTGATCATACTGGAGAGGGATGACATTTATAAATGCTGTGTGGGCACACTATAGTTTAAATGGATGCCTCACACTACTTTGCCAGTTGCCGCCACAGAAATCTGTCAGTATTCAGATCTCCGCAAAGTCCTCAGCCATTACTAGTTTCTCTCCTGGTAAATAGAAATTGCACAAGTTAATAATTATTGTAAAACAGAAAAAAAGTGGTTAATGCATTTATGAATTGTTTTTTTTTAGAACAGTCTGCTTCTCAGCTGTTTGAGATGTATTTATCTGTTTTGAACTAGAAGAGCTTTACAGTGTTGGGTTAGTTAATTGTCAGGGTTTTGTTTTTGTTTTTTACATTGTCTGAAAAAGGGGCTTAATAAAAGTAACATTTACCCCAGAAAAAGTCCCTGGAAGGGAAGGAGAATGCTTCATTTACCAGTTTAATCTTATTATATCTTCTGTTGATTGTGGATTAGAAATTTGGAGTAATTGATTATTTTCTTCCGAAACACAAGATTCAACCACACCTGTTGTTTAGGATACATTCAAAAAGTATAACTACACTCCACTAATCTAATTTAATGATGGTCCCTCTAGTAGAAACAAAGGTTTTTAAAAAATGATTCCTTGTTCATGGTAAACTAAGATTAAGATGCATCAATTCCTGCATGGGTCAGTCAGTAGCCAGGAAACAACACCCCAGCTGCCACAGAATAATTAACAGTCCCCATAATGACACCTCTCCCAGACCTTATGCCTCAAAATTAATTTACAATGGCTTGGAAATAGGGGAATGGCTTCTGTAGAGCTAGTCAATTGTCCTGTTACAGTTAAGGAATCCAGCAGGCTGGTTGCACTCATATTTCATCTCAGGTAAAGATTACCTGTCAGGCCCATGGGAGATGTATTGATCTGTTTTCCTTTTTCCGGCAGCAATCACCTGACAAAGGCACCTAGGAGGTGAGTGAATGAGTGATGCCTGGTCGGCTTGGTCTAGCCCAGTGGTTTCTGTTGTCCACTGATAGGTTTTAGAGCTTATGAGGAAGAGCAGCAACAATATTGTCGTAAACTCTGCTTGAAACTCATCTGCATTCCCGCAAAGCAGTGCCCTCTGTGACACTGGTCACAGGTCAAAGGGGAATTAGGTTTTTTTTTTGCCTCCTTTCTTGTCAGTGGCGTTTGTTCCTACTGTGTAATGTGTACTGATGATTAAAATGTATGCAAAAAGGCCTCTCTGGTTCCTGCTGACAATTGCATGTTGTAAGTCACCTTAGTTCAACTCACTTTGTATTTCAGAAGAGATTCACTTGGTTTGGACGGGCTTCTAATGAGGATGGAGCCATTTTTCCCTGACTTTCTGGTAATCATCTTTCTCTATGTCATATGGTTTCTTGGCAGCTAATATATTTATGTAATTGCCTTGATATATAACATGTATGTATTATTGTTGACACCATGCATCTTAACTAATTACAGTGTATAAAACGTGTTGTATAGTATTTATGATGTGATTATTTTACATCTTATAACAGAGGATTTAGGAATGAGGTCATTTAATTTATTAATAGAATTACATGATAGATCGCACTGGAGATATATAACCTTTTTATATATTTTTTTCTAATTTCATTTACAAGGATTTAAGAAAATCTTGGTGGTATCAGGGCTCCAAGGCAGCTATCACATTTGGAAGGTTGTGCAAGTGGCATCTTATCTCTTAAGGCTGTTATCTTTGTGGAGGCATGCCTAATTGCTTTGCAAATGATCTAAAGAGGATTACTAATCCTTCAGAAAACATCTGTACCGTATTACTTCATGTAAGAGAGACGCTACAATCATAAAATTCAGCGTTAAAGATTTTATGCAGTAGCTTCCTTTCCAAAGTTCCAGTAAAACAGATGAATTGGTGAATTCTTTTATGAACTTTGTATGGCTATAAGAAATTGTTTTAAAGCCACTCTAGTTAAACTCAAGTCATTTGTGTATTTGTAATGTCTTGAAAGATCCATGCCCAAAACATTGCTTTGTTTTCCCCTCTATGTTACGTGTGTAAAAAAAAATGCCAATATTTATGCATTTTTAAATTTAATGCTGAATTCATGTGCAATAAATTAGCTTTTGTGGTTATGTTGGAATGTCAATGAGAGGACAGAGGTTTAGTCAGTTTTGTATTTAGCAGCATTTACAGGCAGTATTATAACATATCACTTGATAACATGTTTACAAACAAATATAACAAGAAAAAAACGGAAAAAACATGACGAATCCCATTAGCTAGTTTTTAAATGAATCAAGAATCTCAAGACAATGTCCAACCTGGGTGCTGCATGCTGAGAGCAACTACGATTGGTTCTTGTGACTGGTAGTATATTTTATTGATGTATCTTGAAGTCCAATTCAATAGTCCAGTTAATAGAAAATAAAAGCATGGATAACCAGACTAAAATCCTATTTAAGTATTGGTAAAGATCAATGTAATTTTCAGAAGTGGCAGAAATTACAAAGTTACTTTTAACATAACTTATTACTTTCCAAATCAAATAATCAGTAATCTGAGTTGAAGTTACTTTTTCAAAGTAACTATATCATCACTGATCAAGACACATTCACTGGTCAACCTAAACACCTACATTTCTTGTGCGTGGCTTGACTACAGCATTCAAATGACCAGTCTGTTGCCTGACCAGAGCAGCCATGCTATCTGGGGCAATAATCAGACACTTTATTTTCTTAGGGCTGAGTTTGTAATTTCTCTTACACAAGTAATAAAGGCAAGTTAAAGAACTCGTGGAGCGGAACATCTGAATATAATCTGCATGAATGTGATTAGACTTATTTTGGAATTCAATAATGATCTGTCCAAGAGGGCATATTTATTACAAAAAACAATGGGCTCAAAACACAGTCTTGGTGTATCCCACACCCTTCAGATAAGATTCTTCCAGTAAGATCATTTTTGGTGAACATCTCAGTATTTTAAATATATATATATTTCATTTATTATTGAAAAAGAACAGCTATCTTTATGGCTGCTAAAAGAAATATGTAAAGATCAACCTATTTTATCACAGCTACACAATTAAATGCATAAATGATTAATAAAATGTTTAACTGGTGCTCTAAAATTTCTTAGCTGAGTGACGGTGGTCCTGGCGAATACAAATGTTGGTTTGGGACTGCAGCGAGGGTGACAGAGAAAATAGTCAACTTGGCCGCTGGAGATTATCAGTCGATCCCCTGCTGTTAATCTTCCAGCTGAATGGCGAGGACTGCGGTAGTCACTTTGCCACGTGTTGAGAGTCGGGAGCAATTCTCTGCGCTCGCCGGTGGTCCACAGTTACAAATCACATCATCAGCTGTCTGAGCACCCACAGCCACCTCTTCTCCACCAGATTGATGGTGAAATGGAGGAAAAATCAATGGCTTCCTCTCGTCAGAAAGTGCCGGCTCTGTCATGTTGGGTAGTTTGATGTTGGCCACTGCTGGAAATTGAAAGCTCAGTTTGAACAAACTGACAAGACACGGATGATTCTGAGGTGAGACAATGACCGATTTCAAACTGTCGCCTTAGTGGTGACGTCTAAAAACACTTCCATTCCACTGGAGAAGATTAGAGTGATCGGGTTGAGTTGGTTTAGTTTCTAGTAAGTGACGGTTAGTCTTCAAACTCTCTCAAAGGCTTCTGTGTAGGTGACCCTGTGAGTAACAGCAATCAGTTTTCGCACTTGCCCCCTGCCATCATTTAATCCTTATCATCACTGTGACACGCTGCAACTTCATAGCAAGGTGTCCGTTCGCCGCTTCCTGTGAAACGAGCAAGCATCACTAAGCTTTTTCACTCCGACACATATTCTCCTCCTAATGGGAAATTCAAATATCACATATCAGCTGAATGCAATATTCACTTAGAGGGAGATAACGCTCTGCCTGATGTGTCTCATGTATCCGGTTGAGAATGGGCCCGGCTCGGTCTCTGATACCAGATCCGACTATGAAACCGGCTGTATATATTCTGACAGGAGCTCGCGGGGAGCTTGTTCGCTCGCTCTCTGCTTTATTGGCTTGCGTGTTGGTCGTCTTGTATTCCCCCGTGTATTTGAGGGAGAGCAGATTCCAGGGCATCTGGGCTTGTCCTGCTGCCTCTCCCCGGGCCTCTACAGCAGCGCCATTCCTTTTCATTTCAGCTGGCATTCTAATCAGAGCATTATGAGCTTCACCGGGTGAAGTACGCAGAAAGTTGTGTTTTCTGACAGCCAATAAAAAGCTTATAATCTCCCTGATTCAAGTGGCCCATTTAGAAAAAATACTAACTAGAACTATCGCTCACACCACCTCCCTCCCTATTTCTTTAATACCTTTTTTTATTTAATATATAGCCCATGAAAAATGAGTGACTCCCGCTTTGCTGTGTAGATATTTTGCTGCTGATGATGCGAGACGAATTTCCATCACAGCTTTGTTTCCAGCGGGTGAGCGGATAATCTTTTACAGTGCGGGGAGGGAGGGCAGCGCTCCCATCAATCTCCGGGGCTTATAGCTGCTGCGTGGTTGCCTCGCCTCACCAAAATGCCTGCAAAGCAACACAACACTGGCCTGAAAAGGGTCAGTAAGACAACACGGTGAGCTCCTAGACCCTCCTTAACCCTCAGAACAATGCTTCACTTCTGTTCCATTAGTCCTGTCATTGTTATTATGTCGTTTTTCTAACAAGGCTGTCATATCTGAGGGAGCAGCATTGCTTTCCTGCTGACAGCCTTGGGAAACTATGTTTTCAGCCTTAGCTGCTCCTGTTGTCGAGAGATTTCATCTATCTCTTTGCTTCACAGCCATGTGCACTCTGTGTTGCAAAGCAAGAAGGTCTCACTTGCACTTGGGGCATCTTGCCCAGGCAGACTCGGGAGAAGGGCCCCCAATGGCCCCCGTGCTGCTGTATTGGCTGGCTGGCAGGGATGCTGCACACTTCTCTCCGCACCCCGCTGCCCTGACAGTCGTCTGCCGTACAGCTACCCCCCGTGGAGACGATGGCGCTCTGATTGACAATAATGGGAAGTGGCAGAATCAATGGAAGACAAGAAAGGGGTGTGCGTGAAATTCTCCAGGAGCTTCTAGTCACAGACCAGGGGATCTGGCAACACTCACCTGTCATCCCTGCAGCACCAGCATTAGAGGTTGTGACAGCAGGAGCTGATGGAGAGAAAGACACTGTTTTCATCATCTCTCTGCTGACAGCCCAGTAATGGTGCTTCCTCTGAACATTTTAGTTACAGTTAAACACAAATATGTTCACATCCCTACTACACAGACCTGCTTAAAACTATAAACCCTATTATAGATTTTTCCACCTTACAGAAATAAATCTTAAATACCACTGTTTTTAATTGATGGTTTAATATGTTAATTGAACAATGCTAACTAAACCAATATAAAAAATAAAGTAAATGCAATAAACCCTATTTTTGAAAGCTGAGTTCAGCCACACCTAGCCCTCAAAACATGGTCTGCAGGATCAAGAAATTGCTTAAAAGAGAACAAAACAAAGTAGGGTAAAGATGTAAAAACCCTAAACATTATGCCCTAATCAGAAGAAATTCAAGAACACATGAGTCTTGGAAGGTTGTTAAGAAATTTTAAAGAGACTTCTTTGAGGCACTGTGGGATCTGTTGTCCACAAAAGGAGGAAACATGGAGTTGTGAACCATCTCAGCAATCAACTCAAAGAGAAGATTGATTTCCTGAAAGAACACAAATTATATCAGATCAGATAAGATAAAATTATGTTCTTGTATAAAACTTTTGAAAACAGATTTTTACTATTTTTTTCCACAAAGTTGCCCGAGGTGCACATTTATAATTGAAAAGTAATCTTTGCTCTGGTTAGAATTGTTATATTGAGTAACTTGTTATCTCAAACTGTAGTAAGTGGCTATTAAAGAACACATTTAAAATAGTGGTTTAACACATTATCTAAATATATATTGATATGGCTCAGATGCACTCCTGATCTTCTGCAGGTACTTTAGGTGTGTGTGTGTCAGTGTGTGTCTGTGTGCTTGTGGATGGAGGCCAGATGTCACGACAGAGGGGGCACTCCATCCTCTAATTGATCGGCAAAAGATGCACATGAAGAAGACGTTAAAGCAAAATGAAGTCATAAAAGTGGATTGAGACATTTATTAAGTCAGACGAAAAGCCCTCAGAAACATTGAGATTGTTTATTGATTTTTGTGTTTTGGCTGGCTGCGCAGGAGTAATCGCTTGTTCTGCTGCTGCCGTGTAGTGGAGATGGTGGAGGCGCGAGCACGACTGAACACACAGGTGGAGGTGCTCACTTCCTCCTAAAAGAGATGAGTTTAACCAGCAGAACACTGACTTTATATTATTATTTTCCATAATTTATATAGAGATTCTGACTCAATGCACAGCTAGGAATGCCAAGTGCTTTTGGTGGAATGTTTCTGAAGAGCTGGCAGGCTCAAAAAGCCAGTCTATTCCCAGAGCTCTTCACTCGCAAATAGAAACACTGCAGATTTTATTGTTCTCCTTTCTGTTTGTGGGTTTTGTATGTGCAAATGCATGTATCTTTTATAGTTCAAGCAATATAAGTTGCAATATTCACTTGAATAAACACAAAAATTCAGCACATAAAAAATAAACTGCATTTAGACACTTTTTTAGGCCACTCCAAAACCTAAATATTTCACATGCAATATGCATGTGATACATAGAGATCTATGTATCCTTTTCAATCTTTATTCAATCTCTTATTTATATTAAAATTGGCTAACTTTACTCGTGTCTTGAATATGGGAACCCTTTCCAGTGACTAGGGTATCTTTCTGGAACCATTATTTACATCCCTCTCATTAAAACAAATTATGAGGGTAGAAATTAGCCCCAAAAATCTGTATTGAAGCATTATTTTTTCAGTTAGTGTGTAGTTTAGAACAGTTCTAAACATTTTCAACTAGTTTATTTTTTTACTATTTTAACTCCATCATTTCAGTTTTAATACACATATATGTTTTCTGTTAACTTTGTCTTTTATCAAGGAAAAACAAAAGCAAAATTGTTGCCCCCGTTTTACTACCCTGTAGATATTTTTCTACTGTAAGAATTTGAGCTTTATGAGTTTCCAGCTGGCCGGTCACCAGACAAGGCCGATCAGCACTAAAGTTGGTCGGCTCTGGTTATCAGCAGATTTCTCTGTAAATCTATTGAAAATATGTAGGGCATTTAGCTCATGATATTTTCATAAAATTTTTTTTAGATTTGCCATTTTATTGTATTTTCCAAACTGAAACTATATATACAAATTGTTAGAATCTTGAGGCATTATATGATACTGCCCATGGTAATTTAACACTCTGTATAATATATTATATTTGATCAACTCAAATCATAGTTCTTTCATTTCTTTTCTAGGTGAGGAGATAAAATTGATGTCCACGCTTCATAGCTGTCCTGCTGCACACACGTGTCTTCATGTGTGTGCTTGCCTGCGTGTGTGTGTGTGGTGCAGATGAGTGTTAGGTAGAGTTCAACCATACTGGTGACATCAATCTGCCTGTTCTTTATTAGACGGAGCAGTGAGGTGTAACTGACTGCATTGTCCACAGATGGACTTGGGCCCATAGCACACAGGACCCTGGTCAGCTGCCCTGACAATACAATCAATAACCACACACTCATTACAGGAGCCATGCCTGCCTTTTCCCTGTTGAGCTGCCCTGAGGAGTCTCCCGTTATTGTACCCTGATTTTTCTTTATTATTCCACATACCGGTAAGCTAATCCTAAAGTTTTCTCTACAGTTTTGTATATATGGGTGATTTTTATTTTGTAAATTTAAGTAAAACCTGGAAAGGGTAAAGGGACACTGAACAGTCCCAGGCAGAGCTCCTCTGCTGCAGTATTCAGGGCCGGACAGTTGCAGATGACAGTGATCCAGCATTGAGCTCGGGGCCTATAAATGGTAATGCCCTCCACTTGCCTTCCTCATAAAGCATAATAAAAGAAGGTTATAAATCCAGCCAATTAGCTGTGTCTATCAGTCGCCTTAATTGGAGTGTCATGACTGGCTAAGGGATGACCTTGTGTGCCAGAGCGCCAAGACAGACGAGGGGGCCAGGGGGGACATCTGAGTGGAAGTGGCCGACTTGGGCTTCTTTAAATCAACTGAATCCAGCAGGCCATGCTGCAGTTAAGGGCCGGGTCATTTGGTGGTAAAACGTTTATGCTGATGTTTGAATTTAAAGTCTCTCGAGTAGATGTGATTATGGGAACAATATGGCTGGGGATTCCTTTGCTCGGTCAACGCAGGTGCTTCAAATTCATCTTGTTGTGCTGCTGTGCAGGAGTTAAATCCTCCCTCTGTCCTCCTGTGTACCTGGCCAACATGCATCTCCTCTCAACACCTCGCTCAACCGCTCTCTGTGGCCACTCAAACCTGAAACCTCGACTTCCGCTCTGGCTATGAGCATCCACTATCTCATGACACCGGTCTGTCGCAGAGGAAACACTGAGCCATTTGTTCATGTAGAGATGTCAGTGCTCTCATCCCTTCGCCTCAGGATCAGATGGTACAGAGCAGTTAACCAACCAGCTGTCAGGGACGAGTTTCTCCACGCCTCACTGAGAGACGTCGACAGTTGTTTCCTTTCTCTCTGACCGGCCAGAGATAATTCAGTCAACACACTTTGAACTACAGATAAGGGAGGAAGAGGATGATCCAAGGGACAGGGCAGAGGAGAAGAAGTGGAAGGGAACAGGTGAGGTAGGGTAC